TTAACGAGTAATTAATTATTAAAAATCGTTGTCTTAGGCCGGCCTACCGCCCAATTCGAGCGCGTGGCGAGATGTGCGCACAGCAATATCGATCGCCGGTCACATCTTGCCACGCGCTCGAATTGGACGGTAGACCGGCCTAAGACAACGATTTTTAATAATTAATTACTCGTTAACTATTACGAAAATTGCAAAATGGTACAGGACTTTTCCGTTCATCTCAATCCGTTCTACCTTCTCAAAAATGTCGGATATGGAGAGACTCACCCGTATAATAAATTGTACCCGGCTCTCAGGTTACGCGCTAAAATCGCCTGTGAAAGTGTTAACTAAATAACATTTAGGTGGCCTCTACTCTGCAAAACCTCTCCAACATCTCTCTATTTGCACTTCAAGACATCCGTGTTTATAATAATTTTACTAAATAAAGTAAAGGGAATTGCTTTATGTTCAAATGAGTGATACCATCGAATTAGCAACGGTGCACTTCTCGGTTTGCTCATCGATAACTTATCACAATGATAATAAAGTTTATCTAGCGAATATAGATAAAGTATGAAATAACCTCGCCAAATGGTCATACTCAGTTACTCTTCAATTGGACTAACAATAAGTTAAAGTGTAAAGAAGATGCAAAGGCAAGATCGGTTCTTTGTGGTTATCATATTTTTGGTAACAGTGCTTTCAATTTTTCATTCAGGTACGTAATGTAAATTTCCCACAATTTATAAATATTCTATACATATAAAATGACATAAAATTGCTAACAAGTTTACAAATGAAGATAATAAAAAATTGTAAAATATTAATTTATAAGTTATTTTTTACTGACGACAATGATTCCATCTAAATAAAACTGCGTTATGTCCGCAATGAAATCGGCGCGCAGGATAAGGTGGAAAACGGTATACAAAGTTACATTTTAGATTACAATTATTAGGCAGTCAATATCTTGCTCGAATCTAAAGGCGCTCTCGTTTGTTTGATTTAATTTATAAGCACTTTTGCTACTATTCATTTTCTATATAATATATCAATACAATTTAAAAGTTTAGATTCTTAGTAATTTCTTCCTTTAATAAAATTAGTTTAAAAAATATGAATAATAACAGTTGCCATAGGTTGTGCCATAGGATATTAATATTAAAAATGAAAGGATTTTTAAGTTTATAACAATTAGTTAAATAATTGAAAAATTTGCTTCACTGTGTAATTAGATGATATAATTCGGATGTAGGCAATCGCTTTACTAATTTCATTTTAACGTAGCTATTTATACAAATAAATTATAAAGTCATTTGTATATTTATAATTTTTTTCGACTTGAGTTGTTCGGTTCTCTTCAAGGTAACTGATTATTACTATTTAACCAATCTATATCATAAGTATTATTGTATTCTCTGTTGTATTGTATTCCTGTATTTTCGATGATTTTATTGTAGTTTTACTGAAGAAGACCCGAAAGAGGGTCGAAACGTTTATTAAAGAGAAATTTTGTTTCTAATTTGTGAGAACCGACTTCCGTTCATTTTGTGGCTCACATTGGCACTCTTTCCTTTCTACATATTTTATATATTTTTGTTATATTTGTATCTCTTTTAAGGTGAGGCATTACAATGTTATTATTGTGATTCGAAAACGGGACCACTTTGTCCCTCACCCAGGGCAGTAGTGACATGCCCGAGTGACATGTTATGTACAGTATATACAGTCAGTAAGTATCTAAAATTGTTTATTTTGATTTTTAACTGTATTGGATCTATACAATGTATAGGTAATGCTTCTTAAAAGATTGCAGGTTTTACAGACTTTAGTTTATTCTAATTTTGATACGCTATCGTAAAGATAAAAAAGCTTATTTGAATTTTTCCCTGCAATATTCAAGTTTTTCAAATTTTTATTCAATCATTTACAGAGGCATTCCTATATGATATTCTAAACAATTTTATAAAATAACAAAACCATTAACATTGTATATGTACAGTGTAAGTTAAAAGTGAAACTTCTTTTCCAGAAATATCTGGCGCAGAAATCACCGAACGTTTCTGCGGTTTTCCTAACGCTTGCGAACACTTAGAACGTGGGCCTTACACCAAATATTGCCGTCAATGCAACACAAACCTATGTAATGCTGCTGCCATCAATACGTTATCAACTATCCTAATGTTAACGTCAGGATTGATTACTTTGTCATGGACAATTCAATGAATTTCATAGATTCATTATTTTTATGATTATTCAATCATTCTCTTTATTGTTTATATCATAATCTTTTTAAAAACTTTTTAACGTTGTTAGTAAAATATGTGTCTGTTTCTAAAGCCAGCACAAGTTCTTTAGTTGTATGTTATTTTACTCCGTATTAATTATTATATCGAATATCACGCGAAAGCTGAATTGTCAAGAGCATTGAATTTTTTGAAAAACTAAGTGGACATTTTCTTCCTGTCGCATTTAAAACAAGAACTTTTTTTAAAAATAAATGATAGTTCTGCGTTATTAAAATTGGGCCGCCGCAGTGTGGGAAATTTCGTTCTGATACGCCAGGAAGAGCGCGAGACCTTATTTCTTTCGCGAATCACAATGAGTGAGGAAATTCTCAAGGTTCCATGTCCCTCTCAGCGTTCGCTGCATTTCTCTTACGCGCCACGATAAAATACAGATCTAACTGTAAAGTCTTAGACCGCTGGCTACGCAACGAAATTGCGTAAAGACAGTGTACTTTAATAATGGAATGTTCTGTCTGTGATGCTATCTGAATATTAGCTTGATTATCCTTTAGTTACACCAGCGGATGAAGAAAAATGTATACCTATTTATGTTTTGACATATTTAAAGAAATTGTAAAAATTAAAAGATAAAAGGACACGTGTTATTTGAATTTTCTTCTTTTAACATGTATAATTATTAACTTTAACATGTGGTGCTATTTATATTTAGATGAAAGTCCCCTATTATGAGATAGACTTCTAACATGAGTAGGCTTTCAACATACAAATTCAATCAAAAATCTTTTTTCGCAACGTTTACACGATCCAGCAATGAATTTCCCACTAAATACATTTCACTCCAAGAACAATAAGTTCATGACAGAACCAACAAATGATGACGATTAATTATTGCAAATAGCCTGCTATCTCATATTAGAAGCTTATCTCATAATAGGGGCCTTTCCTCTTATACTATTAACTGTAAAATAGACATTAGAAAAATAGCTGTTACTGTAAAATTGCAAATGTATTTCGAAAACAACTGACCACAATAAAAGTATTTTAAAACGACGTGTGTTTTTCATATCTCCGTACACTTCGTTGCCGAAACGTAAAACGTGTGAAATAATTTATTATTCATTCATTACGCGTAAAGCCGTTTATCTCGTCGTGCAATTACTGTGATGGACGCTTCTTCAGCGATTTCTGTGTATATTGTTTATAAATTTATATACATATGACACATCGTTATAACTTTTATATCTCTTGACTCCCACATAATGCATAATATATAATAAGCAGTCGGTTCCTCGTGTGTGGCGTGTATGTAATGTTTCATTAATATCGCGTAGAAAAAGACGGTGGTACAAACTCTTTTCCGATGATACCTAATTCCCGACGAAACTTTTCTCCGCCGCGACCCTAATTGAATTAAATGTCTGGTGTACCAATATTTTCGCCGCGGCTTTTTAATTTGTTCATGCTTGCATCACTAACTCTTTTCATTCGTGTAAATACGTGGGTAGGCTGAAAAGTAATGCACACATGCTTGTAGAACACGAACGAAAACAAAGAGCGAGATCGGGCAAAAAACACATTAAAGTACAATTCTTAAGCTTCAAAATCATATATTTATTTTTCAACATAGTCACCGTTAAGGCTAACACATTTCTCCCAACGTGTAACAAGTTTTTCCATTCCGTCACTGAAAAATTCTTCCGACTTTTCCCGAATCCAGGACTTGACAGCTGCCTTCACCTCATCGTCCGAGGTGTAATGATTACTCTTGAGGTCTCTCTTGAGTAGAGGAAAAAAATAAAAATCACAAGGAGCAAGATCGAGGGAGTAAGGAGGGTGTGGAATCTGTTCAAACTTCAGGTTTCGCAAGATTATTGGCTCCAGGCTGCCTCTAACACGACAAACTCGATGTCGGAAGTGTTTTAGAGTCTGTATGTACTGAGAAGAATTTACTGTCTTGCAACATGACAACGCTCGTCCACACACCTCGCGCGCAACTGCAGAAGCTCTGCGTTTGGAGACATGCCTGAAGTTTGAACAGATTCCACACCCTCCTTACTCCCCCGATCTTGCTCCTTGTGATTTTTATTTTTTTCCTCTACTCAAGAGAGACCTCAAGGGTAATCATTACACCTCGGACGATGAGGCGAAGGCAGCTGTCCAGTCCTGGATTCGAGAAAAGTCGGAAGAATTTTTCAGTGACGGAATGGAAAAACTTGTTACACGTTGGGAGAAATGTGTTAGCCTTAACGGTGACTATGTTGAAAAATAAATATATGATTTTGAAGCTTAAGAATTGTACTTTAATGTACTTTTTGCCCGAACTCGCTATTTGTTCTTGTTCGTGTTTTACAAGCATGTGTGCATTACTTTTCAGCCTACCCACGTATATTGATATTTGATGTGTCATATTCGTATAAAAGTGCGTTCACATATGCATTGACGCATTTGCAGCTGCTGACGTATTTTTTCGTCATTTTAAAAGCAGATTACCGCTGACATAATTTTACATCATTTTATAGGAAAGCAAATGACTTAATGATTCATATTTGTAAATAGTTACAAGTATGAAAATATAAAGCAATGGTTTTTAATTTTATTCATATTTTAATACAAAAATCCTGCAACTAGTTCTCTACATATTTTTGCGCGGCTCTCTATATAATAAATTGTACCCGGCTCTCAGTTCACGCGCTAAAATCGCCTGTGAAAGTGTTAACTAAATAACATTTAGGTGGCCTCTACTCTGCAAAACCTTTCCAACATCTCTCTATTTGCACTTTAAGACATTCGTGTTTATAATAATTTTACTAAATAAAGTAAAGGGAATTGCTTTATATTCAAATAAGTGATACCATCGAATGAGCAACGGCGCACTTCTCGGCTTGCTCACAATCATCGATAACTTATCACAATGATAATAAAGTTTATCTTGCGAATATAGATAAAGTATGAAATAACCTCGCCAAATGGTCATACTCAGTTACTCTTCAATTGGTCTAACAATAAGTCAAAGTGTAAAGAAGATGCAAAGGCAAGATCGGTTCTTTGTGGTTACCATATTTTTTGTAATAGTGCTTACAATTTTTCATTCAGGTATGTAATCTAAATTTCCCACAATTTATAAATATTCTATACATATAAAATGACGTAAAATTGCTAACAACTATACAAATGAAGATAATAAAAAATTGTAAAATGTTAATTTATAAGTTATTTTTTACTGACGACAATGATTCCATCTAAATAAAACTGCATTATGTCCGCAATGAAATCGGCGCGCAGGATAAGGTGGAAAACGGTATACAAAGTTACATTTTAGATTACAATTATTAGGCAGTCAACATCTTGCTCGAATCTAAAGGCGCTCTCGTTTGTTTGATTTAATTTATAAGCACTTTTGCTACTATTCATTTTCTATATAATATATCGATACAATTTAAAAGTTTAGATTCTTAGTAATTTCTTCCTATAATAAAATTAGTTTAAAAAATATGAATAATAAGAGTTGCCATAGATTGTGCCATAAGATGTTAATATTAAAAATGAAAGGATTTTTAAGTTTGTAACAATTAGTTAAATAATTGAAAAATTTGCTTCACTGTGTAATTAGATGATATAATTCGGATGTAGGCAATCGCTTTACTAATTTCATTTTAACGTAGCTATTTATACAAATAAATTATAAAGTCATTTGTATATTTATAATTTTTTTCTACCTTGAGTTGTTCGGTTCTCTTCAAGGTAACTGATTATTACTATTTAACCAATCTATATCATAAGTATTATTGTATTCTCATCCTGTATTTTCGATGATTTTATTGTAGTTTTACTGAAGAAGACCCGAAGGAGGGTCGAAACGTTTATTAAAGAGAAATTTTGTTTCTAATTTGTGAGAACCGACTTCCGTTCATTTTGTGGCTCACATTGGCACTCTTTCCTTTCTACATATTTTATATTTTTTGTTATACTTGTATCTCTTTTAAGGTGAGGCATTACAATGTTATCAATGTGATTCGAAAACGAGACAACCTTGTCCCTCATCCAGCGCAGTAGTGACATGCCTGAAGAGTGACATGTTATGTTTAGTATATACAACTAGTAAGCATCTAAAATTGTTTATTTTTATTTTTAACTGCATTGGATCTATACAATGTATAGGTAATGCTTCTTAAAAGATTGCAGGTTGTACAGACTTTAGTTTATTCTAATTTTGATACGCTATCGTAAAGATAAAAAAGCTTATTTGAATTTTTCCCCGCAATATTCAAGTTTTTTCAAATTTTTATTCAATCATTTACAGAGGCATTCCTATATAATATTCTAAACAATTTTATAAAATAACAAAACCATTAACATTGTATATGTACAGTGTAAGTTAAAAGTGAAACTTCTTTTCCAGAAATATATGGCAAACAAATCACCGAACGTTACTGCGGTGATCTTAACGCTTGCGAAATCGTAGTACGTAAGCTTAACGCCACAGATTGCCGTATATGCGACACAAACCTATGTAATGCTGCTGCCATCAATACGTTATCAACTATCTTAATGTTAACATCAGGATTGATTACTTTGTCATGGACAATTCAATGAATTTCATAGATTATTTTTATGATTATTCAATCTTTCTCTTTATTGTTTATATCATAATCTTTTTAAAAACTTTTTAACGTTGATATTAAAATATGTATCTGTTTCTAAAGCCAGCACAAGTTCTTTAGTTGTATGTTATTTTACTCCGTATTAATTATTATATCGAATATCACGCGAAAGCTGAATTGTCAAGAGCATTGAATTTTTTGAAAAACTAAGTGGACATTTTCTTCCTGTCGCATTTAAAACAAGAACATTTTAAAAATAAATGATGGTTCTGCGTTATGAAAATTGGGCCGCCGCAGTGTGGGAAATTTCGTTCTGATACGCCAGGAAGAGCGCGAGACCTTATTTCTTTCGCGAATCACAATGAGTGAGGAAATTCTCAAGGTTCCATGTCCCTCTCAGCGTTCGCTGCATTTCTCTTACGCGCCACGATAAAATACAGATCTAACTGTAAAGTCTTAGACCACTGGCTACGCAACGAAATTGCGTAAAGACAGTGTACTTTAATAATGGAATGCTCTGTCTGTGATGCTATCTTAATATTATCTTGATTATCCTTTAGTTACACCAGCGGATGAAGAAAAATGTATACCTACTTATGTTTTGACATATTTAAAGAAATTGTAAAAATTAAAAGATAAAAGGACACGTGTGATTTGAATTTTCTTCTTTTAACATGTATAATTATTAACTTTAACATGTGGTGCTATTTACATTTAGATGAAAGTCCCCTATTGTGAGATAGACTTCTAACATGAGATAGTAGGTTTTCAACATACAAATTCAATCAAAAATCTTTTTTCGCAACGTTTACACGATCCAGCAATAAATTTCCCACTAAATACATTTCACTCCAAGAACAATAAGTTCATGACAGAACCAACAAATGATGACGATTAATTATTACAAATAGCCTGCTATGTCATATTAGAAGCTTGTCTCATAATAGGGGCCTTTCCTCTTATACTATTAACTGTAAAATGGACATTAGAAAAATAGCTGTTACTGTAAAATTGCAAATATATTTTGAAAACAACTGACCACAATAAAAGTATTTTAAAACTACGTGTTTTTTTTCATATCTCCGTACACTTCGTTGCCGAAACGTAAAACGTGTGAAATAATTTATTATTCATTCATCACGCGTAAAGCCGTTTATCTCGCCGTGCAATTACTGTGATGGAGGCTTCTTCAGCGATTTCTGTGTATATTGTTTATAAATTTATATACATATGACACATCGTTATAATTTTTATATCCCTTGACTCCCACACAATGCATAATATATAATAAGCAGTCGGTTCCTCGTGTGTGGCGTGTATGTAATGTTTCATTAATATCGCGTAGAAAAAGACGGTGGTACAAACTCTTTTCCGATGATACCTAATTCCCGACGAAACTTTTCGCCGCCGCGGCGACCCTAATTGAATTAAATGTCTGGTGTACCAATATTTTCGCCGCGGCTTTTTAATTTGTTCATGCTTGCATCACTAACTCTTTTCATTCGTGTAAATATTTATAACTTTTTTTTCCTCTTTAGGTAAACGCCGTCAACCTGTTGATTAATTATTTGGGAAATATTTATAACGCGTATCATAATAAGTTTATTTTTCACGTAGGTATCTATTTGCAAAATATTGTTCCACGTAAATTAATTTCAAATTTTCATAAGAGAAGAAGAAAGATATGTTATGGCTTTTTCCTGGTATAGGTATCACCGAGGGGGAAACCGCTGACCAAAATCTTGTACACAAATGCCCACTAATGCCCAGTGGGCATTACTTTTTCTTATTGTCTTATTTTATCTTATTTTTCCTGTTCTGTCTTATTTTATCTTGTTTTATCTTTATAATGCCCCATCAAGACCTAATGCCCCAAGTAATGCCCAAAAATTGCCTAGTAATGCCCAGTAATGCCGCAAATCTGTACACCACAATGTCCTTAGCGGTTTCCCCCTCGGGTATCACGGATATTAATTTTTATTTTATCTTATTTTGTGATAAAGATGAGAGGGAAAAAGGAAAAAAAAGAAGATATGTGTGGTGACATTTCACAAGATTAAATAAATTGAAAGAATATTTTAACTACTAGATTAATTGTCTCAATGCTGCGTTAAAAATTCAGTGAGGTTCAAGATTGTCACTTAATGTGCTGAAAATTAATCTCGATAATTTCAATTTTAGATAAATCAATGCAGCTTTCTCGCAGCTACACCTCTAAGATATTTCCAGTGTTATATTGCAGGTCATTGTACTTTGCAGCGGAAATTGATCGTAAACGAAAGTCTTCGGAACGGTTAATTAGTTCCTTGATGCGCGTATAAACTAATTGGTCGGCACAAGGCGAGAGTAATGCAACCATCGTGCGTTTCGCTCATTATTTTGTACTTCGAAACTTAAACTACAGGTACAAACACTTGGTTTGATTGCGCCTTAAGTATCAGTTTCGATTTAAGTGTGCGGCCATCTGCAGGCATGATATAATCATAATATAATCAGAACAATAAAATTAGTTGGCAGTTTGTAGTTTCTTACTACTCAGATATCAGCCATGAATTTAATTGTAATATAATTAAAAACCGCAGAAATATTTTCTTTTATTCTGTAATTTTAGTAATCAAAGTTGTAAGTGTGGCAGATGACTTAATTCTGAACTCAAATCGATGATTTTTCCGTTGTACATTTGTCGTAAAACCTCGTTTGTTTAAAACGCCGTCGAACAACAGTATCGCACACGATTTTAGGTAAGGCTTGCATTTCCGTGACACGTCGTCGACGTAGCGTCGGCCCTCTAGCAGTTTGCCAAAGGCCTTCTGTGGCAACGAGATTCAATTACGGCAAACCTCGTAAACTTCCAATATTACGGCTGAGAAAGCAATGCTTGCTATGCCCGTTGGGAGGCAGATTTCCTTGTTTATTTCCTCGATCACTTACCCACTCCCCTGGAGTTTCCTCAATTTCTTTTTGTCTCTCGTCGATGAAAGAAAGCGCCACGAGCAAGTTGTTTTGTGTCCCTCAGCCCAGATATTTTTAATCTTTATTAATCTTAATTAATAAAAGAGCCTTCAAAGAAAATTTACAAGTTTTCAATATGGGGGAGGCGGGCTACCTTTAGTCAATATATCGAAAAACCATCGACTTTTAAAAAAAACTGAGTGGACCTTTTTCTCGCGATTCAACATAAGCCATTCGCGAACTTTTTGTTGTGTTTCTGCGTTATGCAAACCTGGACCGTAACAGTGTGGGAAATTCCGTTCTGATATGCCAGAAAGATGCGTACGAGTACCATATTTCCTTCGCGAATCGCAATGAGTGAAAAAATTCTCAAGGTTCCGTGTCCCTCTCAGCGTTCGCCGCACATCTCTCTTACGCATCGCGATAAAGCGCAGATCTAACAGTAAAGTCTAAGACCGCTGGCTACGCAACGCAATTGCATAAAGACAGCCTACTTTAATAATGGAATACTGTTTCAGCGATGCTGTCTCGATTTTGTCCTGACTATACTTTCGTTGCACCGGCGGATGAAGAAAAATATACGTTTCGTCATGTTTAAAGAAATTGTAAAAAATTAAATAATATTGTATTAAAGACATATGGAGTCAGTTATTCTGAAATTAGGTCGTTGCTTTTCCTCAAATATTTATTACACTATCGTTCACAGAAACGTACGTATGTAATAATTTTAAGTTAAAATAACATTCATCGTGTGTGTTACTTTTTGACAAATTATAAATGTTAATACGTTAATAGTTGCTTTATATATTTTTTAAACCTCCACAAATCGCATTAGGCCTTGCCTTGGCGCATAAACGCCTAGAATATCTTATAATTTATTTTCCAAAATATATACTGATGATTATGTGGAGATAGAAAATTATTTAAACAATTTCTTTTGTACAAGATTGCTCCGTTTGCATCAGATAATCATTACGTTCGCATTCTCCTAAAAGTAAACTTTGCATTTTTGTATAAATAACATTTTCGAAAATAAATTTTTAAAAAATTTCCCGAATTAGTTAATGGTTTTTTACTACTAAAAGTTTATGACGAAAGTCAATAAGAGGATATAACATAAAAAATTTTAAAAGAAAATTTTTAATAATATTTTTAATTGAAGAAATTTCGTGTTATGCGCATTTCGACTTCGTGTAATCCGTTTACACAAATTAGACACAATTTTATACAATTTAATATCAACTACTTTCGCGACAAAATATACCATTTGGTACATAATTAATAACCTTATCTCATTATTATTATTATGCATATTTGTGCATTATTATTGTACAATTTTGTGCAAGTAAATTTGTACAAATAATTATGAAATACATTGTAAAGTTTATTTGCATAAAAATGTACAATAATAAATCTATAAAGTAAATTCATTTTTCCCATCCGAATTATCCCCCCTGCCATATCCTTACACCTATCCGTTGCATAAAAATGTGTAATAATAAATCTACAAAGTAAATCAATCGATTTACTCATCGAATTATCCCCCAATTCTACCTACCCGCATCCCCTACCTACCCGTGTAGTAAATTATTCACTTTCCTACCTAAATTTCTTAAATTTCCTACCTAAATGTTCATACTAATTAAATATCCTTTTATTGCCGAAAATTACAGCTTGATATTGCTATCTCGTACTCTTGTTTATTCATTTTCCTATCTACCCGACATTTATCTGGTTTTTATCCGTATTTCTACCTACGTACATAATATTCCTACTGTATCTTTAACATAATTTTAGTTACGATCGCGATTATCCGAAATTTTAGAAGAGCGAATTTCATTTTAAATCGCGACCGTTTGGGAGTTTTTATCGGGAATTTAATTTACGCGGAATAGAGATTTAACTCGAGACGGCATCTTACCGTCTACGATTACGTGCAATTGCACGTATGCAAAAAACCTTATTCAAGAATGCCTTGTAGGCAAACCTTTTACTTTGATTGGTGTTATACGTACACCAACCTACCTTGTGCGATCCAGTTCGTTTTTCTGCTGTCCAATACTCTGGCTTTATATAGCCAGAAATCGACAGCAAGGAGAATTACTCCTTGTGCTGCCAGCTGATCACAGCCAGCAATAAGCGTACGATTATACGCTTATGTATTGATGCGCGAAACACGAAACGCGTCGCGAGGCCATCAAATTAATGAAATCACGTACAAAATTAACAATGAGCAATGATAATAACAATTCCATCGTGAATGTATTTTTTACACGCGTTTATTTGCAATTGAAATATGTATCCAATAATTAAAAATATATCCGAAATATTAGAAAAATGTCGACAACGTTTTGATTTGAAGGAATCGCGATTCTAAAGTTTACACCAAACTTTTCAGCCTGATAAGGTAAAACACATCGAAACTTTAATTTGGAAATAAATGAATGAAAACTGCTAGACGCGTCATCCGATAGAATTTAAGGCGGCCCATGTGCGTATTGTCATCGATTCGAGCGATTTGGCTGAATCTCATCTCAAAAGCATGCAGAGATGAGACATTCAGGCGAATGACGTAAGATCCGAAAGAGATTTAATGTAACTTTTCCAATTAGAATTATTGAATTAATAAAAATATCTCTTCTTATTCAAATTATTTCTCGCGTAACATGTTATGCCGTGTCTTTTAATTTAAAAATCACGTATTTTTAAGCGACTTGAAACCAAGTGATTTGAAGAAAATTTCAAGAACAAAAGTCTTCTCTTTCTTAACAAAATATATATTGGATCTCACGTCATATTTATACTACTAACTGGTATACAAACCAGTTATCAATCACTACTTATGGATAAGCTACAAAAGTTTAGGCTAAAGTTAGTGCATTAAAATATGTAACAATAATTCAATAACCATATATCATTCAGTATCTTTTATAAAAAAATACATTAATAAAGTGTGTGAATTATATTGCACTAAAAGATTTGTTGTAATTTAACTTTTACAATATTTATATACATATTCCTTTTCCGCACTAACTTATACAAAATGTAATCCTGGACAAAAGATTTTAGTTAAATGGAGGATGTAATGAGAGAAGTAATAACAAATAGTTTGTCTCATATACAACAATATACAAATATTTCATTCTTATTCTCTGCCGATCACAACATGTGAGTATCACGAGTGAACTTGAGTAACAGCAGTAAATTTAAAAAAGTCAATGTTTTAATTAGAATTTTCTTTCATCTTCTATCTTTTCATTCCTTGTCACTATATTTGTCAAGAGTTATGTAATGTACATATTTTCTGAATAAAATGAACTTTGGCTAAATAACATTGGTAATTGAAATAATTAACAATAAATATTACATATCCTCACAGTATCCTCAATTTTTTCTTTCTACGTAGTGTGTGTGTGTGTGCACAAGAGTACGTTCTTGTGCACACACTAAATTAGGCAACGAAATATCTAATTGTAAAATCCAGAATTACATTTCTCCTAATCTGTTCCAACTTATATTTGAGGGTAACGGATGCACGGAATGCTTCATACTTGTATTCAATATCTTTGCATTATTAACAAATGGATGCATAGATGAGCCATTAGTACGTGTATTAAATAAAATTACCGCAGATCCGTTCCCGCAATAATCAAAGTACATAAATTCATTGCTCACCAACACCGACGCGCAGCAGCGGAGTTACAACTGCAACGTCGCTACGATGATTCTGTAATGCACAAACATACAATTGATATTAAAATAGTGTTAAAAAAACAAAGTTTCAAATTTTCCATTCAATTAGATATTGAACAATTGAGCGTCTTTCGAGAAAGAACGACACACTGGGAAAAAATGTCCGATTAAACGTAATCGGATAATCCAATTACGTAATAACAAACGGATATATCCAATACAATTGTACATCCGATGAAAAGTACGATCGGTTTGTCAACCAAAGTTCAGCGGACGCGTCCGTAATTTGATCGGAAAGCGTAATCGGCAAAACTATCCGACGGAAATTTTTCTCAGCGCGGGCGCGAACTTTAGTTACTTCTTTCGCTCGAATTGTCAGGCTACGGTGCGACATAACGACTCGAGGATAAACGGCGGAAAAGATCTCGCTTCGTGTAAAATGAAAGATAAGTACCGCAAGGTTGCTCCGCCGGTGCACGATGCCCTCGCCCGGGCCTCCTCCTCCACTCAGGCTGTCCTCTCGGGTGGCCGGCCGCGCTGGTTTCCCTCCAAGCAACACTGACACTAACGCTAACACTCACTCGCGCACTCGGTCCTCTTTCGCCTCTCGCGAGGAATCGGGGGGATAAATCATCAATCGACACGGTACGCGACGACTCACGGGGAGAAACGGCCATATTCGAGTCCGGACATGGCGCGGCGAGCGATCGTCCGCGGCGCAACGACACAGTCCACAAGTCCCGCACACCTTCGTCTCGACGGCTCCGCCTCGAGTGAATCGCGCGACACGCCCGCACTCCGCTCTTTTCCTCGCAATCAGATTAACGTAATCCCGATCCGTAAACCGACACGCAGCCGCCACGCAGCCCGTTCCGACACACTCCTTGGCACACTCGCGGATCGTTGCGCGCACATCCGACGATTCCCGCGGAAAGAAGAACAGTGGTGCCAACCGCGACGCGGAAAATAGCGCGGCGCGACGCGCGGAGTAACTCGCGGACGCTTCCTGTCGCCGGCCGAGTCACTTCGTTGTGCAGATACGTCGGGCGAAAAAACGATGGACGATATCGCGCGGCAACCGGCGCGGCAGGTAACGAGACGTCGCTTCCGAGCCTCGGGGATTCATCAGGTGTGCGCGGTCAGTTACGCCGCCGGGCTGAGAGACGCCGAGAGCGATTGGCCGATTCGCGGGAGCTTCGCCCGGCGAGAACGGCGTCGCGCGACGCGCGGACACGTCCCGTCGACTCGAGATCCCACGGGCGAATGAATGACTGCTGCGTGACCTCGGTACGTGCGTCGCAGCGCCGAGACGAAAAACAGTAACGTATCACGCGCCAACCGACGCGGTAAGTGAAAAACATGGTTTTTTTCGTGTCTCAACGTACGTTCAAGGGTACGCGAGGATGCGGCGGCTCGAGACGCCGCCGGCTGGAAGCCGGCGGGCGCGACTGGCTGGATCCGTGGGGGCTCGCCGCGCGGGCGGCCAATCGCGCGCCGCGGCTCATCGTGCGGCGCGCGGCGGCTCGACTGCGCGGCGCGCGCAGTAAAGCCTCGTCTACATAGAAGTCGCAGAGTCGTAGTCGTAAGAATAATCGACTGCGGTTGGTCAGTTTCGTCGGACACGTAAGAATTGACCAATCGCAGTCGACTATTCTTACGGCTACGACTTCTACGTAGACGTGGCTCAAGCATTTGTTCGCGCGTTGCCCGCGTAACTTCGTCCGTCGGAATTTTCTTCTCGCGTGTGACAAGCGCTTACAGTGGATTGTGAACTGAACGCGTGCCGGACGTTCGGTTTCTTCTCGCGGCGACCGGCAACGAGCGGGACGTGCCGTCGCTGGATGTGCGACAAACGCTGGACGCCGACGCCGGACGTCGTCGCTGGACTTCCCGGACTCGCCGAGTGTCTCCATCCCTGCCGGACGTGGGTCGGTGAGTGATTTTATTTATGAGAAAGCAGCGAGGCAGAGATGCCGAATTCTGATGTTCAATTACTCGCGCGTACCTGCGAGACTCCCCTTTCTCGCGAGGTCTCCGTGAATTCGGGGTCAATTCTGTATCTTGCAGTGCAGCGAAAATGCCGAAAGGGAGCGGCTTCGTCTCTTTCGAAGGGGACGGTTAGAAAGAGACGGAGCCGTTCACTTTTAGCATTTTTACTACGGTGTAGGATACAGAATCGATCCCCTTGTGTCGATTTTCTGCGAATATGATTCCTCGCGCAGTGTGTGTGCGCGATAGAATACAAATCTCGTGTGACAGGTGAGAGATCGCGAAGACGCCGTGCGAGGAATTGAAGGTTAGTTGGTAATCGTCGTCCCGCATTTTGCGCGGTGAACCGGTAACTCGCGTCTTCTGTTTCCGTCCCCGATTTCTGCTTCGAACGAACGTAGTCGCGCGGGACGGAGCTGCAATGAACCTCCCGTTAAACGAAGTCGTGATTGATTGCCGATCGATCTGAGGCAACGATCGCGTGTTTGGTGCCTTTTCGCGATCGCGCACGGTCGCGAATGAACGGGCGAGCTCGCTCCATGAACGAGGGTGCAAGCGAACAAGCTGAAATGTGCGCCCGCGAATACATTCTGCCTTTTGTTAGAGAGCAGACGCTCGTTCACGTAATATTTCGGCGTCTACGTGCGCGCTTTTCCCCACAATCTCCGCTTTACGGGAAATCAACGTCAAGTTGTATCATTCGTATAACGATTTCTTCGCGATCGTTTCCACTGCGCGGTGATTTCGCGTACGTCATAAAAGAATGACGGCAAACCGCCGCCAAGAGACATAAAAATTGTAAAATATTCTCCGCTCTTGTCCCGCAAGTATTCATGTCGCTCCTAAAGTTTTCCGTAAACGACCCTATTGCCGCGGAATTTACATTCTTGTTTTGCAGATTTATTACAAATCGATCGAGGACTCTTTGAAATGGAATTACTGCTAAAAATTTTTTCTGCTAATGCACTAATACGATACGTACAAAATCATAAATACAATTTAACGTTAATTTTCCATAAAATAGAGATTTTGAGGGATAAAAAGCTCGTGTAAATTTATTAGCAAATAAAAAGAAAGACCGAAATTAATTCGACTGAGGGCGTTTTGACAGTATCGTAGCTGATACAATTTAACATTAAGTTTCTGCAAAGTAGAGATTATGAAAAATATAGAAGCGTTCGTGTCTTGCGGATTTATTAGTAAAAAACGAACGAGCAATTCGATTGAGGATTCTTTGAAATGAAATTATTGCTAAAAATTTTTTTTGTGCTAATGCACTAATACGAGACGTACAAAATCATAGATACAATTTAACGTTAACTTTCCATAAAATAGAGATTTTGAGGGTAAAAAGCTCGTGTAAATTTATTAGCAAATAAAAAGAAAGACCGAAATTAATTCGACTGAGGGCGTTTTGATAGTAGCTGATACAATTTAACATTAATTTTCTGCAAAGTAGAAGAGATGATGAAAAATATAGAAGCGTTCGTGTCTTGCGGATTTATTAGTAAAAAACGAACGAGCAATTCGATTGAGGATTCTTTGAAATGGAATTATTGCTAAAAATTTTTTTTGTGCTAATGCACTAATATGATACGTACAAAATCATAGATACAATTTAACGTTAATTTTCCATAAAATAGAGATTCTGAGGGATAAAAAGCTCGTGTAAATTTATTAGCAAATAAAGAGAAAGACCGAAATTAATTCGACTGAGGGCGTTTTGACAGAATCGTAGCTGATACAATTTAACATTAATTTTCTGCAAAGTAGAAGAGATGATGAAAAATATAGAAGCGTTCGTGTCTTGCGGATTTATTAGTAAAAAACGAACGAGCAATTCGATTGAGGATTCTTTGAAATGGAATTATTGCTAAAAATTTTTTTGTGCTAATGCACTAATACGATACGTACAAAAACATAGATATAATTTAACGTTAATTTTCCATAAAATAGAAATTTTGAGGGATAAAAAGGCTCGTGTAAATTTATTAGC